GAAACAATAACTTGTATTTTATTAGTAGTTCCGGTGAGTAGATATAATTCATTGGTTCCGGTTTTACTTGGAACAAATGTATTGACTCTTCTGATGAAACAATGTAAAGATGAACATGGGAAATCTTTTCTCCAAAAAGCGAAATTAACCACTTCTTGGTATTTATCTTTTCGTAGTATGGATTTATCAGAAAAAGAATTAGTCAAACGAGATTTCAGTTTAGGAATAGTGAAAAGTGCCTCAGTCAATAGGATACTAGTTCGTCCAAATTCTCGTATAACGTTACCATGTTATGTTGATAAAAAGTTACGATACCCGAAGGTGTCGGTGATGGTACACCCATGTCAACGTTCCAGTATTTCATCTGATTTAGATGTTTCTCCATCCATAATGATGTATGATTACAATAATACAGATTATATTTCAGTTAACGTTTCAAATGTGTCTACAAATACTATTGTTATTTCACCCAAAGCTATTGTGTGTGAACTACAGCCGGTAAATATTGAAGATAACGAAGTTACTTCAGATGGATCCAATGCCTCGGTCTTAAATAAAGTAGAAATTGACGAAAGCGATTTATCAGAGGAAGAGATAATTCAAGGTAAGAACCTGTTGTTAAGTTTTGACGATATTTTCGCACATAATGATCTGGACTTGGGACATACATCCAGAGTACAACACAGAATTGAACTTATAGATGAACAACCGTTTAAGCAACGGCACCGCCGTATACCTCCATCGATGTTTACTGAAGTAAAAGATCATTTAAAGCAGTTGTTAGCATGTGGTGTTATAAGAAATTCACATAGTCCATGGGCATCAAACGTGGTACTTTGTCGTAGAAAGAACGGTAAATTACGCATGTGCACTGATTTCAGACAATTGAATAATAGAACGATCAAGGATTCGTACGCTCTTCCCAGAATTGATGAGTTATTGGATCATTTAGCAGGTAACAAATTTTATTCAAAGTTAGATATGAAGTCCGGATATTACCAGGTCGAAGTTGCCGAAGAACATAAGGAGCGTACCGCTTTCACAATTGGTCCGCTTGGTTTTTATGAGTATAACAGACTTCCTTTTGGTCTTTGTAATTCTCCCGCGACGTTTCAGAGGCTTTTAGAAGATTGCTTAGGAGATCTTCATTTGACGATATGTGTAGTGTATATTGATGATTTGATTATTTTTGCAGATTCATTCGAGGAGCATCTACAGCGCTTAAATAAGGTTTTAGAGCGTTTACGTCAGTGTAATTTAAAATTAGCACCTGATAAATGTAGTTTCTTTAAAAGACGTGTAAACTATGTTGGACATGTTATCTCCGAAGCGGGTATTGAACCAGATCCAGAGAAAATTGAGGTGATCCAAAAATGGCCACGCCCATTGAATTCTGTCGAGGTAAGAAAATTTCTTGGATTTGCTGGTTATTATCGTCGTTTTGTGAAAGATTTTTCGAAAATATCAAAACCTTTATCTATTTTGATGCCCACAACGGGTAAGAAAAATAAAAGTAATGTTTCCGTCAAGTGGAAGTGGGATATTGAGCAGGAAAATGCATTCTGTGAATTAAAGGATCATTTGTGTAGTTCTCCAATTCTTACAAGCTGTGACTATACGTTACCATTCGTTTTACATATTGACGCTTGTCAAACTGGTCTGGGTGCAGTTCTTTATCAGAAACGAGATAATTTATTGAAAGTTGTGGCTTACGCGAGCAGAAGTGTGAATAAATCGGAACAAAATTATTCTGCTCATAAATTGGAATTTTTAGGGTTAAAATGGGCCGTTACAGAAAAGTTTCATGATTATTTGTATGGGAACAAGTTTGTGGTGTATACCGACAATAATCCATTAACCTATATTTTGACTTCCGCTAAATTAGATGCAACAGGTCATAGATGGCTCGCCGCTCTTTCTGCGTATGATTTTGAAATAAAATACAGACCCGGGAAAAATAATTTGGACGCCGATTTATTGTCAAGATTACATAAAGAATCGGAATATATTTCACATGAACAGGTACATGTAATTTGTAATTCTATTCAGCCGAGTAATTATGCCGAATGTTTAAGTATATCACCAGAATTAGTGCCGGAGGTAAATTTAGGTCTAAATGGTATGACACCACGTGATTGGAGAAAGGAACAAGCAAAAGATGCCTCTATATTGTCTATTCTTAAATATTTAAGGTCGGGAATAAAGCCATTTGACAAGGAGTTCAACAAAGAGGTCCAAGTATTATGTCGTCGTTTAGAACACTTAAAGCTGAAACAGGGAGTTTTATATCGATCTGTGGAACATGAAGGGGAGATAATTGAACAACTCGTACTTCCATGTCATTATAGGAAATTAGCATTTCAGGCTCTTCACGATGATCTTGGTCACATGGGTAGAGATAGAACTATGGTATTAATGAGGGAACGATTTTATTGGCCTGGTATGGCAAGTGATGTTGAACTTTGGATCAAGAATTGTGAACGTTGTTTGAGACGAAAATCTCCTACAAATATCCGAGCCCCTTTGGTGAATATAGAAACTACTCACCCCCTTGAAGTTGTTGCGATGGATTTTCTAACACTAGAACCATCTAAAGGTAATTATCAGTATATTCTAGTTATTACAGATCTGTTCACAAAATATGCTCAAGCAATACCTACACGGAATATGACAGCTCGCACAACGGCTGAAGTATTTTTCAATAATTTTATAGTTCATTATGGTTTACCAAGTCGGATACATTCTGATCAAGGAGCTAATTTTGAGAGTAAAATTATTAAAGAATTATGTAGTTTAGTAGGTATGGATAAATCCCGCACCACAGCTTATCACCCGATGGGTAATGGGCAGTGTGAAAGATTTAATCGGACACTTTTGAATATGCTGGGTACACTTACGCCGGAGAAGAAAAATGATTGGAAAATACAAGTAGCACCTCTTGTACATGCATATAATTGCACACGACATGAAACCACTGGATTTTCACCTTTCTATTTAATGTTTGGACGCCACCCTCGTCTTCCAATAGATTTAGCGTTTGGAGTGAGTCGAGAAGTGTCTAATGTGTCATTACATTCGTATGTAAAAGCGTTAAAGGAACGGTTACAACGTTCTTATGAATTAGCGATTAAATCATCAGAGAATTGTAAAGAAAAACAGAAGACAAAATATGATCGGAAAGTTAAAGGTATTCGTCTTGATATTGGTGATCGTGTTTTAGTACGTACTTTAGCGTTTCAGGGAAAACACAAATTAGCTGATCGATGGGAACCTGGCGTTTACATTGTTGAGGATCAACCTAATTTGGAAATTCCTGTTTTTGTGGTCAGACCAGAGTCTGGGCGTGGACGATCGCGTACTTTACATCGAAATAATTTGTTATCAATCAATAGCGTTGAACCCGTGTATTTTCCGACTCCAAAACCGAGAAAGCGAAAAATAGTAATTGAGTCTAAAGTAGCTGCGGAAAAATGTGTTGAATTAGATTCAAGTTCTGATGAAGAATTTAGTTATGTGGAAGCCAATGATCCTGTAAATGAGAATTACCCGGAGGTTATTCTTACGGGAGGAGGGGAAGGTGATCATGAAATTATCGAGGATATTGTTGAGGGGGATCACAATACCGAGATATTTCAGGGGGCATCTAATGACGCATCTGTAAGTAATGAAAATACTGAGGTAAAATCAATTGAAGTTAATGTTTCAGGTGACGCCGTAGATAATAATCCAAGTCCTCTACCGGCAGATGTATCTATTGAAACAAGACCTCGCCGAACATGTAACCAACCTCAATGGATGCAGAGTGGTGATTTTGTTATGGCTCAAATTAATAATCCGTCAGATTGGTATGAGAAAGCTAACTATATTCATTCATTACATCTTTCAGGTTCTTTAAGCAAAATGGCTCCAGAGGTTAGTACGGCATTGTTGTCGTTAATTACTGGTAAGTAAATGACGGGACGTCATTTTTACGGTGGGGGGAAGTATGTAACAGGGTCATATTTTGGGACTCTGTCAATTAATGTTGGTGAAGAATGTCCTGATCAGTGTCTTGATTGTTGGAAGTTTTTAATAAGTGAGTTTATAGTTTTGGTTGTGAGATAATGTAAATTCATTAAAATGTTTTGGGGGATGGATTTTCAGTTGTATGGGTCTGGAATTGTATTGTCCGGATTATGGTGTTTTATTTTAGTGGTTGAAATGTCTTAGTTCTTATATGGGTTTACTTTTAATATTTTTTTGGTATAGTTGAAAGGATAACTCGTTGGACTCTTTATAGTTCTGAAGGTGGTCTCTTTCTGAAATATTGTTTATCAGGTGATTAGTAATTCTTTGTCCTGGTTGGTTATTCAGAAGTTTAGCTGGGATAAAACTAAATTACACGCATGCATCAGTACCACATGTTACAGATTTAGTGAAGGTCAATACCGGCTCTTTTCCACAAATGGGTAAGCTATTTAATTTAACTTTCTTGTAATAGATGACTGCAAGTGGACTGTGAGTTTCATGAGTGTTTGATATATAATTATATATGTAATTCAAATACTGTAAGGTAAAAATTGTAGGATGTGTAGCCAATAGAACTGTTGGTTACGAATATATGGATAATGGCAACTATTGTATTTTCAGGGCCAACTTGTCGAGCATAAATGTATTTTGTGTTATAGTTATGTGTAGTACCAACAGAAATGGTGTTTAATGGTTATGGTGAATTGAAATACATCTAGATCGACCAACATCGACTACGCGCTTACGCGTTTCATTTAATTGTTTTAAACTGTATCATGTGTCATTTGTGGATTATATAAACTTATTTAAACCTTATCGTGTTGTCAATCAAGAAATCTATTTTCCCGAACTAAGCAGGTTCAATCTATCAACTTTACCACACCATTGCAGGTGATGGAAAGGGTAGGTCTGCAATAATACTATACTGGCAAAGGGAAATCACGCCGGAAAATACCGGAATATACCGAGGAACTGTCTCTGTTAACATCGGAATGAAACCAGGGAATTCTCCTGGTTTGCGAGTCTGGGCCAATCTAGTTCATGGTTAATGACCTCTCGGATCTAAATATTAAGGCCAACTGCAGAATTCCTCAAGGTCACGAGATGTAAACAAGGCTAACGTTAACTCTAGACCTAGAGCTAACTCTAACCCACAATCTCGTCAATAATCACGTGCCCTAGCCCTATTTACATTTCGCGCCTTGACGAAATCTGCAGGTGGCCTTAATATTTAGACCTGACCACAGCTCACGGTTAATGACCCAATGGGGCATAGAAGAGAGAGAGAAAAAATGGGGTTTAACGTCCACTCGTCACAAACATATGGTTCAATATTATTTCAATAATTCGCTTGCGCGTAGGGGTCTTTAGCAGTGGAAGGAAACCGGAGGACCCAGAAAAAACGCACGAGGTTGAACAAGTGACTATACTACTTTGTGCGTACAAGTTTGGAATCGAACCCATGCCACTTTACTCAATGACAGGCCTTATGGTGTAAAGTGCACGCGTTACAACACTCGCCCACCCAGTCCCTCTTTACGGACAACTTTGACCATATAATGTTATCTAATATGGTGACCTAATTTAAAATCAGAGTTCGATTGATTGTAGATGTGTAAATTAAGATTAGAAAGTTTTAGTAAATAAGCCTTCACGACCAGTTACTAAAAAATGTAAATGACATTCACAGATTAGAATGTTTGTTGTTTTACGTTACGGGTTCAACAGTACGTAGACCCAATTCTAATACAAACAAGTCCATATCAAATCAGTGATAGTGGTAATTTACGATATCTGATACTGAACAACGATGAGACCCCAGTGACAACAGCTGTTTTATAGAACCACGATGAGACCACAGTGAAAACAGCTGTTTTACAGAACAAAGATGGAGCAGAAATTAGAGAAGAAAGCCAATCAAAATGTCGATACAGATGACGTCAAGAACGGTAAGATTGTGCGCTTTTATCATTAAAATCTCGATGCGCCATTTTAGCGCTATAGAACTAATTTCAATATTAAGATCGCATTCAGTGTAATTAAAACCCTATAACAGTAAATCTCTTTGATCTTTGAGGTATATTGTAAGCCCGGAATAACTTGCGGTCTGAAAGTCGTCGGCAGCTTTGAATATATACAGGGGGATTTGGGGTTATTCTTCTAAAATGGTTTTCTTTATTAAACCTGTAACGGGTTATTCTTCCAGGGTAGGTTTTTATTTCCCATAAGAAAACATAAAATAGGGTTTTTCTTACAGGAATTTTGGGATATTCTCATTTTGCGTACATGTAAACATAGACGGTTTATAAGCAAGATAAAGTCCTCGACTTAGGTTATGCTGGGGAGGAATTTATTATACATCTAGGGTCATAACCCCATATTAATTAAGTGGTTTCCATCTTTGTGTACATTAGATTAGATGTTTATGCTATTACATATGGTTTCATTATCAAGGTCAAAGGTCACTAATTTTTGGTTCCATTGAATGTTTTGATTGTACATAGTATATATATTTCGTTCCTTCTGTTTGTATCAGTATTGTGCTTGATAACGACAAGAGAATCATTGTTGAAACGTTGCTTTAATAGAAATATAGTAATTGTTATCCATAGAACTGTTGTGTTTATTTTAATCAGAAAAAAAACCTCGACAGAAAAACCTCGGCCTTGGGTTATTTTCTTTCCCCAGCATAACCTCAATCTCGTGTTTTATCCTATACATTAATCTGCGCGACGAGTCTCTAGAAGCAACATCAGCTCGAAAATTCTTCAATTCAATATTTACAAAGATATGTTGAATTGAAATTTCATTAATCTATGCGATTTTGATATCTAATAATACTGCTGCTGGTTTTGGGTGCAATTGAAAGTTGATCGATCTATGCTGTTCGCTGTTATGTAATAATACCGCTGCTCGTTTTGGGTGCAATTGAAAGTTGATCGATTTATGCCGTTCGCTGCTATGTAATAACCCCGGCGCCATTTTGTTCTCCATGAACATTTATTGATAGGCCCGTTTAATCCGATTGACGCTCAGCCGAGAGATTAGCTACCGTTGGTATTTTGATTTTCCGTTCTGAATTAAATGTTAAATAATCAATCGGAGTCGATTTTAAGCCGTGCGAAATTTGATATTCCAGTGACAAATGGGCCGTATTCACAAACCAAAATGGTCAAATCTAAAAGAAAACAGTTACACTTAATTTAGTATAATTCCTCTAAATTCTCAAAATCCAACCACCCGTATGTATAGCTTACCCTAACCCTAGAAATGTATCACAACACATAAACAGAACAATAATATTACAAAGTTCAACCAGATCAGCTATCTACAGACAATCTGATTAAAACACTGTCAAAAATATGACCGGTATCTGTGGAAGGTCACGTCAAGTATATCACGATGAGCAACACTTATGGACACAGCTCACCAAATATTTCTACGCCGCCACCAATGTAGGGCCAAAGTTATTTTTAGTCTTTCTCCCCCTTTCCCTCCTTTCGCATGGCGATTTGTGTTGACTTTGTGGTGTAGAATCGAAGAAAAGGGTTTGAAAATACATGTTCTGCCAGGTTTTGGTGAATATTCATGATTTTGAGGCGGAAGGATACATGAGTTGAGAGGTTGGTTAGTATGAAATGTAGGGCCGAAAATTGCATGTTTAGTTGTCTCTACTTCCAGCTTGTGTATCTGAAGTTTTTGCCACATAATGCTTTTGGGCAAAATTTGCCACATGTTGCTCCATCTGTGACAGAAAGCGTTCTACCCAACGAAAATTTGGGAAAAAGTTAGAGCCGGTCTTAGAGACGAGAATTAACATTAAAGTCAATGGGGAAATAATTAGTGATCTGTGGACTTATGTCACAAAGTTCATCGAGACGAGTTATCTATGTGGAATTATCATACGTCATACACAGATGAACAAACTAAAAACTACACTTCACATATTAGCTCTCGGTATTCTTCATATCAAGGGGATCACGTGGCTAAGTGGGTAAGAAGCTGGCTCGCTAGCCTGGAGGTCGGGTGTTCGATCCCTGCATTGACCGAGAAGTTCATCTCGATTTTCCGGCGTGGTTTCCACTTCTCAGTGATGCAGAACGGAGGGCCTGACAAGGACAGCTGCTTAGTCGTTCGTTCGGATGGGGCGAAAAACCGAGGTCCCGTGTACACATTGGCGTGCACGTAAAAGATCCCTTGACAGTTGGAATTCGATATAAGAGTAGGCTGTAGCGCCGCTGCCCGGGCAAAATTTCCCTCATAGCACACTGTATGGCGTATACCCGTCTTCAATTAGCCCAGGTTAGGTGCAGAAGCGTAGGACGTTAAACCCTATTTCATTTCATTTCTTCATCAGGCGTCAGCGACTGTCATTCTATCCGATTACAAATTACAGTACAAATTTAAAACACTGAATGTAAATTTTATTGATTACAAGAACGTTAACCAGAGAGAGAGAGAGATAGAGAGAGAGATAGAGAGAGAGAAAGATAGAGAGAGCGAAATGGGTTTAACATTTTAACTAGGTCATTTCGGGACTAACACATGGTGCAATGTTATTTAAATGATTCCCTTGTGCGTAGGGTTCTTAGCAGTGGGAGGAAACCGGGAGACCCGGAGAAAACCCACGTGGTTGGACTGGCGACGCTACTCCTTGTCACGTACACCCGAGGAATCGAAACCACGCCAGTTGACTCAATAACAGGCCTTGTGATTGTGATACAGCGCGCACGTGCTAACAATTCGCCCCCCCCCCCACCTCCACCTTATGAAGAACAATGAAGTGCAGATTATTGCTGGTTACTGTAAAATACGAAATTTTGGTGGGGAATTCTAGTTTTTCCTGGGGGGGGGGGGGAGGGGTATTCTTTGTAAAAGATGTTTATTACTACGCGACATGCCATTTGAAGCAGGCAAATAACTGAATTGAAATTTCATGCATGTTGCTTTGGGGGATTGACAGTGTTTCCATCAACTCATCCAATTAAGTGGGAGGAAACCGGAGGACCCGGAGAAAACCCACGCGGCTGGACAGGCGACCCTTCTCCTTGTCACGTACAAGCAGAGAATCGACACCACACCACTTGTATCAATGACAGCCCTTATGGTGCAACGCGCACGCGTTAACCATTCTGCCACCCAACCACCTGTAACCAGAGGTGGGAACTCGCGTCCCACTTAAGTCACTGGACTTGAACTATTAATCTTGACTCGAGACTCGGCAGTCGTGGCATCTCACGACTTAAAAGCTAACAGCAATGGGATATTTACGCAGAAATAGATTGAATGACTGCTAATGGCGGTCCTGCCTTATTACGGTGGCGAAATGATGGGCTACGTTGATTAGCTGACTCGTTTCACGAACTGGCGACTTGAACGGGACTTGAGCTTTGCAAAGACTTGGGACTCCTTTGTCTACGATATCACCCTTGGTGGAAATGGATGTAAAACTCCAGGAACGAATGAACGACTCGACTCAGTGCTATAGTCAACGATTTGGGACTCGACTAGGATTCGAGTTGCGCCTCAGACTCGGGGTGTGACGACTTTTAATGGTTTGTGTATTTCATTGATTGTAATAAACGCATTTATTTTAGGCTATTTTAACTTGCCCAAACCATCATTGAATGTATCCATTAGAACGGAGACGACGTCGACGCTAAAATAAAGCAGCTATGTGATAGTTGGATGAAGTCAGTAGAAAGCATTTTGTTTCAGTGCTGTCTGTCTTAACCACCAGTTGGAGTGGAGACCAGCTATACGATAGTTGGGTGAAGTCAGTAGAAAGCAATGTGAACCTCCATCAATTTACTATTTATATTTTCAGTACCTTGCTGCCTGTCACAACGATGGATACTTGCATACATTGGATTCTTTGGATTTTTCTGTATGTATGCATTACGAGTCAATTTAAGTGTTGCTATAGTGTGTATGGTGAAAAGCTACCCAGACAATTCAACCAATGCTTCGAACAATACCAACCCAAAGTGTGATGAACAAACAAGCAATAGTAGCAGCTCGAATGTAAGTAAAATATATCCCACATGGAGTATTCAAATCTCTATAGATGTTCCTGAAGCAAGGACTGTGAGTATTACAACATCTGGATGTTGCTTGATTACTTCACAATTACCAAACTAATCTGCAGACATGTGAACAGTAGCGTCCAATCAGAGTTGGTGACATAGCGACCTACACGGAGACCTTGACATTGAACGAACCTTGAACTTTGCAACTCGATTATCACAGGTAGATATTTTAGCTGGAAAGCGCGAGACTTGGTATTCGCGACGACCGAGGAATCTGATAGGCTCACAAGCTGGGTGAATTAGTGCCAAAATATGCAGGGTATTACGTGAAGGCCTTAACAAAATGTACGTAGTTTAAGCGAGATCAAGCCTCTGTTGACGACGGATGTTCAAGGGAACAGTCTCCGATGTGAAGGGGTAGCAGCCTGCCTGGTCCCTCTGGTCATTGGCACCCCACGATGCTGGCCAGTAACACCCTCTAGTCCCTTATATCGGAGGTCACTGGGATGCAGTTAACGCAAAAGAAACCCTGGCAGTTGGAATTCCATGATAAGTAAGTGGAACGCCGCTGTCCAGGCAAAATGATCTTCACAGCGGGCTGCATGTCGGCTTCATTATCCCAGATGGTGCAGAAAAACAGGACTTTAAATCCAATTCCATTTAATGTTTCAGACCGAAGAATTTGATTGGACTAAAAGCGAACAAGCGACATTATTGTCTGCTTATTTCTATGGTTACTTAGTAACACAGATGCCTGGTGGTTGGCTAGCTGGTAGATTTGGCGGGAAACGAGTTATAGGCTTTGGTCTGATTGTAGCCTTTTTATTGAATTCTTTAACACCTGTCGCTTCTAGATATGATATTCGTGTTGTTACAGCCATTAGAGTTTTACTGGGTTTAGCGTCGGTAAGTATATCACACGGAGATTATATTAAAACGACCTGGAAGCCACGGTGGCTCAGGGAGTAAGACGATGGCCCACTAACCTGCAGGTCCCGCGTTCGTCCCTGCGAAAGTTCATCGGAATTGTCTGGCGTGGTGCCCCCTCCCCACCGCTTGTCCTTATATGTATACATTAGCATGCACGTAAAAGATCCCGCGGCGTGCACGCAATAGATCTCTTGGCAGATGGAATTTGATATAAGAGTAGGCCATACTGCCGCTGCCCGGACAAAATTGCCCTCATAGCACACTGTATGGCGTATGCCGTCTTGCTTAGCCCAGTCGGGGCAGAACAGTAGGATTTTAAACCACATTTTATTTCAATTTCTCTCGCTATACTATAATACAAATCTATGTGTATCCCTTCCCGCGCTACAAATAAACAAGTACTCACGTACTATGGACAAGCGATCGGACATGAGGTTATTTCGTGGACGGGAGTGAACCATGTGTGCATTAATTTTCCTTTTGGGGGTTTCGTCGTCACGATATTGTCGTTTCCAAGGGATACACAATTTGAAATGTTTATATATTTATACATCCAGGGTCTCATGTTTCCCGCCATGCACAGTATGTGGGGTAAATGGGCGCCACCTTTAGAAAGAAGTCGATTGACGTCATTCTGTTATGCGGGTAAGTCAATTATTTAAATTTAATCAACTACAACGGCGTTGCAAATGAAGACGGCCATACGTCATGAAGTGTGGCTATACGGAGAGTTTATCCTAACTACGACACCCTGTCTAATGGCTGGGTACAAGCAGGTTAAAGTAAAGACTAATCTGTACCATTGGGTACAAGCAGGTTCAAGTACATCTTTGGTATCCCCAGTGGTTTCATTCCGTTCTACTCCACTAACCCCTGGGTTAATATATGAGAGAGACACGTTTTCAAGTTATACGCCCTTGATGATTGTGCTATTTTATCGACCAATCCCAAAAAATGTTATTTGAAAAGGAAGTTGGCAAAGGGAAGTAACTCTCATCGGGCAATGTTAGGAGTTGGCCTATTCTAAATGCGTAATTATTAACAACCAATTATATATACTATTCAAAAAAAGTAGGGGATATTTGATTTTTAAGTGTTATTAAAGTCACCTAATGAAACTGACGAAGAAACAAATGACAAAATGAAATGAAGTTCACATTCATCGATTTATTCCAAATGATCGTTAGACTAAGTAAGGCACAGACTGACCATTATAAGGGTAAAATGATACCCGGGGTCAAACAGCAAAGTTACCACAGCATCACAACCAAGTCAGTAACGGGTAAATCCTCCTCTGTTTGCCAAACAAGCATTGATCCGACGTGGCATACTCCTAATGAGACGTCTAAGGTCATTTTGGTCCAGATTGTCCCATTCCTGTTGCAACGCAGCAGCAAGTTCTTGGCCATTGGCAGGACGTTGTTGACGTTGACGTAACCTCTGTCCAAGCATGTCCCAGACATGCTCGATGGGGGAGAGGTCGGGACTCAGTGCTGGCCAAGGTAATGTGGTGATGTTCTGTTGTTGGAGGTAACCTGTAACGATCCTGGCCCTGTGACATCTTGCGTTGTCATCCTGGAAGATGAAACGGCGGCCATGACGTCGTGCGAACGGCACAGCATGGACTGCCAAGATGTTGTCCCGGTAGTACTGGCCTGTAACACGCCCTGCAACAACATGTAAAGCCCTTCTTCCAGCAACAGTGATGCCTCCCCACACCATAACAGAACCACCCCCAAATCGATCATGTCTGATGACGTTAACGTCTTGGAAGCGCTCGTTTCGACGACGCCACACCCTCCTACGTCTGTCCAAAAAATCAACAGTGAACCTTGACTCATCTGAAAACATCACATTGCTCAGCGTCGATTATCCCAGTGTTGACGATCCCTACACCAACGACGTCTTGCCTGAATGTGATGATCTCTCAAACAAGGGATCACGCGAGGACGTCGGGCGCGAAGGTGACCCCTATGCAGTCGATTCCGAATCGTCTGGTCACTCACTCTCACACCAGTGTCTGTTTGAAGACGAGCGCTGATCTGATTTGCTGTGATGACACCCTGGAATTCAATGCCACAATGACTGTAACATTCAAAGTCAGAGTCGTGCAAATCTTGGGTTGGACCCCCATGATGATCCCAAGCATGACCTGCATTCCATGCGGTAGCTATTGGTGCGTTTGGGCGTCACATGTAACTGGAAATGTTTCTTCTGTTAGGTTCTATAGTGACTTTTTTCGTAGTCATTTGCATATTTTAGTATTATGCCCCCAAAATCAAATATCCCCTACTTTTTTTGAATATTTGATTTTGGGGGCATAATACTAAAATATGCAAATGACTACGAAAAAAGTCACTATAGAACCTAACAGAAGAAACATTTCCAGTTACATGTGATGCCCAAACGCACCAATAGCTACCGCATGGAATGCAGGTGATGCTTGGGATCATCATGGCGGTCCAACCCAAGATTTGCACGACTCTGACTTTGAATGTTACAGTCATTGTGGCATTGAATTCCAGGGTGGAAACATCAGTTTAATTGTTTTAGTGACCAGAAAACAAATTTTGATATGCGTCGGCTTACCCAAAATGAAAGGTTACGTGCCCTTGGCATGCTACAGATCGGCACAACACAGGCGGTTGTGGCGCGGACGATGAATGTTTCTCAGTCTGTCATAAGCAGGCTATGGTCCAGATACCGTGATACACAATCTGTACAGGACAGACCACGCTCAGGTCGACCAAGGGCGACAACTCAAGCCCAGGATCGATTTATCCGTACCTTGGCCTTGAGAAATCGTGTCATCACAGCAAATCAGATCAGCGCTCGTCTTCAAACAGACACTGGTGTGAGAGTGAGTGGCCAGACGATTCGGAATCGACTGCATAGGGGTCACCTTCGCGCCCGACGTCCTCGCGTGATCCCTTGTTTGAGAGATCATCACATTCAGGCAAGACGTCGTTGGTGTAGGGATCGTCAACACTGGGATAATCGACGCTGAGCAATGTGATGTTTTCAGATGAGTCAAGGTTCACTGTTGATTTTTTGGACAGACGTAGGAGGGTGTGGCGTCGTCGAAACGAGCGCTTCCAAGACGTTAACGTCATCAGACATGATCGATTTGGGGGTGGTTCTGTTATGGTGTGGGGAGGCATCACTGTTGCTGGAAGAAGGGCTTTACATGTTGTTGCAGGGCGTGTTACAGGCCAGTACTACCGGGACAACATCTTGGCAGTCCATGTTGTGCCGTTCGCACGACGTCATGGCCGCCGTTTCATCTTCCAGGATGACAACGCAAGATGTCACAGGGCCAGGATCGATACAGGTTACCTCCAACAACAGAACATCACCACATTACCTTGGCCAGCACTGAGTCCCGACCTCTCCCCCATCGAGCATGTCTGGGACATGCTTGGACAGAGGTTACGTCAACGTCAACAACGTTCTGCCAATGTCCAAGAACTTGCTGCTGCGTTGCAACAGGAATGGGACAATCTGGACCAAAATGACCTTAGACGTCTCATTAGGAGTATGCCACGTCGGATCAATGCTTGTTTGGCAAACAGAGGAGGATTTACCCGTTACTGACTTGGTTGTGATGCTGTGGTAACTTTGCTGTTTGACCCCGGGTATCATTTTACCCTTATAATGGTCAGTCTGTGCCTTACTTAGTCTAACGATCATTTGGAATAAATCGATGAATGTGAACTTCATTTCATTTTGTCATTTGTTTCTTCGTCAGTTTCATTAGGTGACTTTAATAACACTTAAAAATCAAATATCCCCTACTTTTTTTGAATAGTATATATTATGTTGATGGAGACCAGACGTTCATATATGTCCACGTGATATCGTAGACAAGTTATTGTGACTACTACTGCCTGGTGTTTTAACGTCTGCTTCCACAGAAGTGATATCGCATACAATTATTGTGAATCAAATTGCCAAGTATAAGTTCAATAATAATAAACATAACAGAATGACATATTTCAGACAAAGAATTAATAGTAATAATAATAACAAAAGTCAAACATATAGATGTTATACATATTTGAAATCAACAACACATACTACAGATTTTGATAATACAATTAAATATAAATAAATTATAAATATATACATTATTTACATAAATCATTCAGTAAATGGACATGAATATGGTTATCTACCCTTATAAAATTGAAGGCGAAACGATTGGTTTGTAAACTGTTTTCGGATTGGTTCGTAGACTGTAGCTACAATCTAGTCTAGGGTAGAAAATTTGAAATCGTGGAAACCCCATGGATTAACCCAGGGTATAGTGGAGTAAAACGGTATGAGTACACTGGGTAACCAAGGATGGTGAAAGTAAGACTTCAAATATCATTTCATTTCTTTACTTCCTGTCTGCGTGACGTTTCTTTTAAAAGAGTTGTTTCCCTTTAACCTTGCATGCTGAGATGGAGCATAATAATGAACTGTTAATATACTTCAGCAAGCTTTAGTTTATGATGACTAATAGTAGTGTTCGATCTCAGTGCTGATCGAGAAAGTCCATCCGGATTTTTTCTGGTGCCCCCGCCCCCCCCCCCCAAAAAAATCAATGTTGCGGGACGGAGGGCTTGACAAGAGTCAACGCATAGTCGTTCGGAAGGGACGCAAAACCGAGGTCTCGTGTACAGATTGGTGTGCACGTAAAAGAACCCCGGACAGTTGGCATTTGGCAAAAGAGTAGGCCGTAGTGCCGAAAATTTCCCTCATTGCACACTGCATGGCATATACCCGTCTTCATTATCCCAGTCGGAGCAGAACATTTCATTTCAAATCATAACTGCCGAGTGGTTTACAGAATATGGATATAATTTCAGGATCGTTTATTGGTAATATCATCACGTTTGCTGCATCAGGCCTTCTGTGTGAGTATGGTTTTGATAATGGCTGGGGATCAATCTTCTATCTAACTAGTAAGTAACAATATAATTTACAATTCTCGGATTTTTTGAGATAACCGGATAAAAATAAATTTTAATAATAATAATATTGATATTTGTATCGCGTAACTATTGAATACGCTAGGCCCCATGCGCGAGACTATGTTCTCAAGTCGGATTGTTAATAATAGTGAATAAATAACAAAGTTTTCACTTTGGATTTAAAAACCGGTACAAAATAACATTGTCCGATATCTTCTGAAAGTGTATTCCTCACAATTGATGCACTGTATTGAAAAGTTCTTGATCCAAATGATTTTAAATTATAGGTAGGTACATCCAATAACAATTTGCTTTCTGGTCGTAATGATCGTTTTGGTTGATCATTACCATGAGAGTAGAAAGCGCAAATGTTAGTACCGTATGGTGTATATTTGTATATAGGTATTGTAACCACGGTGTATATTTGTGTATATTGTAACTGTGATATTGGGTATATTTGTATATTGTAACTGTAGCATTGTGTTATTTGTATATAGGTATTGTAATACGATGTATATTTGTGTATATTGTAACTGGGTGTATATTTGTGTACGGGTAATGTAACTGTAACTGGGTGTATATTTGTGTATAGGTATTGTAACTGTAACACGGTGTATATTTGTGTATTGTAACTGTGATATTGTGTATATTTGTGTATTGTAACTGTAAAATGGTGTATATTTATATATAGGTATTGTAACTGTAATATGGCTGGTATTATGGTTTATATTTGTGGCGGATACACCAACTGAACATCCACGAATATCTGAAGCTGAGCGAAATTATATAGAGTCAGGAATAGGTGATAAACAAACCAGAGTACGTCACTTCCTTCATTATTTTATAGAATCCCTTTGATTGGAAGGAACTGGGGTTTAACATCCTATCTTTCTACATCGACTTGACTAATAGAGACGGACTAGGGGTTTTAAAGGCTGTTCTTGTCTACAATATCACCCTTGGTAAAAGTGGACATTAAACTCCAAAACGAATGAACGAAAAGGCTGTTCAACACAATGCGTTTCATTTTACGACTCACATAAGAGAGAGAGAGAGGGAGAGAAAATGGGGTTTAACGTCCACTCAACACACCAAGGTCATTTCGGGACTAACATATGGTTCAATTTTTATTTCAATAATTCGCGTGCGCGTAGGGGTCTTTAGCAGTGGGAGGAATTACGCAAGTTGACTCAATGACAGACCTTATGATACACTCTCTACGACTTACATAAAGTGCTATTTCTATGGTTATCTTTCCGATGCGATGGGGTGCTAGGGATACCCGGACCTCGATATGTTCTCCTACTGTAATTCGATGTCCAACTGTTAAGGTTTGTGTTACATGCACACCACTGTGTACTCGAATAGACCTCAGTTTTTGTCCCTTCCGAACGATTAGGTAAACTTGTCTTGCCAGCCCTATCAGTACCACCCCTGATAATTTACGAACAGACAATTTATTATTTATCACACATAGTTCTGGGGAGCCACGGCTCAGTGGATCAGACGCTGGCTTACAAACCATGCAAGAAACATGGCCAAGTCGTTGCAGCCATCTTGGAAAAATGTGACGTCATTTTAGCAATCGCAGTCGTCAATCGCTTCGCATTTGGTTTTGCCGAGCCATAGGCTTGTTACTAAGAGCGTCGCCCCCTAAGAAAAAGAAGATGAATAGTACTTGGGGACCTGGGACCTGTTTCACCAAATTTTAACTATCAAAATTGAAGTATCTCCTAAAAATTGGATTTTATCTTTAGTTAAGATTTCGAGAAACAGGGCCCAGTTCCTGATCAAAAACATTGTCCATTGTTTTTTGTCAATTGGCAGGTATTAACGACACCATGGTTAGCTATAGCTAAGTCACGAGCTATGCAGGCCTGTCTCGTGGCACATTTCTGTAATAATTGGATTCACTATACTCTACTGACTGGTTTACCAACGTTTATGAAAGAAGTTCTCAAGTTTGATATTAAATCGGTGAGTCAAGTTTTAAAAATAAAATGCTTTAAGGGTAAGACCTGCTAATAATTTTATCATGTCTATGGAGTTAATGTAATTATCTCCCCTGATTTCATAATATAGGGGATGCTCGATTGTCAGACCGGAACGTTCCGAATTGATGTGACGCGGAATTGCAATCGAGTGACGCGGAATTCAGTCCTGTCATTGTTCTGCCAGTCCCGACAGCTGAGGTGAAGTGAGCAGAATTGTGACGTAATTACATACGTAGTTGGTTGAGATATTTTCTCATGCTGGCTGTGCATGCATTCTATCCCCAAATCCCCATTTTCACTCGATTGTCACTATTTTTGAGTTTGACAGATTTTAATTCTGGAACGTTCAATAGAGCATCTCCACAATTCGTCTATACTATTCATGATTTACCGAATGATCATTCGGTACACAGATACTGAAAACACCGAAAACGGTTACGCCCTTCAATAATTACATTAGATGACATATACGGGTATGTGAAGTCATACAGATTCAAATCATATGAGGGATTTCACATTGATGTCAATGAAGAGAGAATTACAGGTCTGATTCCTGATTGGTTCTACACAGAGTTATCTGCCCCAATATCAAAGAAGCTTGCTCAATAATGTCAATGAAGAGAGAATTACAGGTCTGATTCCTGATTGGTTCTACACAGAGTTATCTGCCCCAATATCACAGAAACTTGCTCAATAATATTATGGTAAAGGCTAAAAGCAAAGGACCATCGCCATTTCATCATAGGTCACGAGATGTAAATAAGGTTAGGGCACATGCTTGTTGACGAGATGGGGATTTAAGAATTTGGGGGACAGGTTATGTCTCCACATATAGGAAATACTACGAACTAAATTTCTATCATCCTAGGTTAGGGTGACCCACCATAAATAAATATCTCCATATATCTCGACAATTACGCCACAATATTTATATATATGCCAAGCCTCAAATCAGTTTCACACAATTATAGTCACTAAATAAACGATCATATTGTACTTAATAAGCTATGACCATTAATGATGTATAAATAATAGACTGAAAACTGGTTCCAAGAGTCGTCCATAACATCCAGACACTTTTGAGTAAAAGATAGGTTACGTGCCCTTGTTTTGAAATTAGTCTCGCTTAACCAGTCTATCGACCATTCTACGTCTGATTGACAGGTCGGGATAATCAAGACTACTTTTTTTACGAAACGTAACAGAAAGCTAGAACAAGAAATTGAATTTAGAAATAAGCACGTTAGGTAGCTCAACAATCGTTTTAAGAAGCTTGTAAAAGTAAAATGAAACTACTGCTAGTATCATGTTCCTGCCTAACCCGAGTGATTCAGATATATTATTTGTACTAAACCAAAAGATGCCGCTCTTAACGGTACAGTTAATGATAAAGCGATTTAAAAAATGAAACGAACGTAATTTCTAAATCTGCTGTAATAACCAAGAAGCTTAATTTAACTGCTATCCAAAATCGTCAACAATAAATTTTTTACGGCTGTAATAGTTGATAGATTTGTAGAGAATTGCACGTGCCATGGCTATTTATAGTATCATACTGTCAGAAAGTTGGTCTCGGCACGGCGAATGTGCACGCTTCAGTGGTAGTCTCGAACTATCAGCGGTGGACTGTATTTTTGTGAGTACATGGGCCACCCTACCTAGGTCAGTGCTTACGTGAAGACCTAACCTCTCCCCCTAACTCTTAAGCCTAACCCATGCCCGAAGCCTTTTTACATCTCGTGACCTATGATGAAATCTGTACGATTAAAGAATACTGAATATTGCATGTGGGGTATATTTTAACTACGAGAGAAAATGTCAAATCCAGACAAACTAGGTCACATACACAAACTAGGTCATTTCGGGAGTAACATTTGGTACAACAACAATAATGCGCTTGCGCATAGGAGTCGTTAGCTGTGGAAGGAAACCGGATGGCCTGGGGAAATCCCACGAGCCTAGACAGACGATTCTGCTCCTTGCCTAAACCACGCCAATTGAGGCAATGACAGACCTTATGATCTGAAACAACACCACTTGACTCAATGAAAGACAGTATAATTTAAATCGCACGCGTTAGACCACCCGACCCACAATCCCCAAGTATGTTTTTATATGTACACTATGTCTAATGTTGTTGTATCTATATGGCATGTTTTTATATGTACACTATGTCTAATGTTGTTGTATCTATATGGCATGTTTTTTATTTATTTTAAGAATGGTATCTTGTCAGCAGTACCTTACATTGCTATGACTGCATCTACCGTATTGTCTGGTCAAGCAGCAGATTTTCTCAGAACAAAATCTTTCTCAGTTAAAGCTATACGAAAATTCTTCCAAATAACGGGTATGCAATTTAGTACTTTACAGACACCTGTTATACGTTTATTTGGATGTTATTTTAAATGATGATACTTCAGCCTTTATCAAACGTGATCGCTAACGTGGTTCTCTCCCTTGTCAGTAATGCAGGACAGAAGGTCTCGCAATGGACATTGTATTGTCGTTCTGTTCTGACAACAAACCGAGGTCTCCTGTTCACATTTGCATGTACGTAAATGAACCTTCGGCAGTTGTACTCCGATATAAGAGTAGACTGTAACGCCGCTGTCTGGGCGAAATTCCCCCCTAGCACACTGTATGCCCTTCCTCATTAGCCCAGTTGGTGCAGAAAAGTAGGATCTTAACCCCATTTCATTCATTCATTCGTTCATCAAACGTGATCCTTTTATCCATGCATAATAATCCAACTCATGTACTTTAAAATGTATAAACATACAATTTATTGTCTTGTATTAGAACCACTGGACTGTCGTTGGTCTGGTCTTGTATTGAAACCACTGATGGACTGTCGTTGGTTTTTGCTCCCGGGTAGTTTCGGCTACTGAAATCCAGTCCCTAGCTATTACCCGAGTTCAGACCAATTCACTTCGAACTGAATGACATACCAGAAGGAAGGTATCTGGGCTGGTGATTCTTCTGGTGATGTTAGTTGCCGGGTTATCTGCATCGGGGTAGTGATGACCAGTTTATTATCTCCAGAACACTTGATGTCACTGGTATTATAGTTTGTGTATGATATCGGACACTGACGGGTTTAACTCTAGGTAATAATGTCTGTTATCTGTGCAAGTCGTGGGGTGGATCCTGGATTTATAGATGACAAGGAGTAGTGTCGCCCTGACTAACGTTAAGGTTTTGCTGCACATTCCACGGCTTCCTCCCACTGATAAATACACCTGCTTGATAAACGGGCATTACTCGCACATTTTAACAGTAATATTATAAATGTATGTTATATAATGCTTTAATCGTGTTTCCATACTTCTATAATGTCACTTCAATGGAGTAGTCTCCCCTGACTTGTTTGACGGTCGACGAATAAACATTTTAGCCCTACTTTTAATGTGCGCTAGCGCGCGACGTTTCCAGGCTCGTTGTCGCAGGTTACATGGAATCTGTTCTGTTCCATTACGTTTGCATTAGAGCGACATTTTAGCCGGCGAAAACACGCGCGCGGAAACACAACGAAAACGCGTACATAGCAAACGGGTCTTAGCATCTACACCAGTGCTTCTCAACGGCACACCTTGGAACACACAATACAACAGCGGCACACCTGGATAAATATATATGAAAAATATTTGAATTTTGTAAAATAAAAACATGGCAAGTCATAGACGGCATGCAACCGAAGACACAGAATATATTTATAGAACGACTCCAACTAAATAAAGAGAAACACAGCTATGAACTTAGATATTTTCTTAGTGTGCCCATTAGAAATTTCGCGGCACACTTGTTGAGAATCACTGATCTACACTGCCTGTTCCCTTTGGGTTCTAGCTTCGAAATTGTCCACCCGAATCCACAATCTCGACACTAAGATGTAATTTTCTTGAATTATTTTAGCGTTTGTTGGTGCTGGAGGATGTCTAGTAGCTACAGGGTTTGTTTCCTGTGAACATAAGATGATTGGCGTAGCATTGTTGACTCTTGCTGTTACGTTTGAAGGGATGTGTTTTGCTGGCTACATGGTTAATCAGGTTGATTTCGCTCCGAGGTGTGGTAACAGTCAATTATTTTATATACTTAATTGGGCATTATTCAAGAGCTAAATCTGGTCTTTCTTTAGGTCTGAATTATTATCTAAATTATTAATTAGACATTAATTAACTTATCCAGACCATAATCAACACTCGATGTCATCGCTAGTACATGTCATCGCCAAACATGCATTATGCAATAGCTAAATCTGCCTATTGCATGTCTTTATTTAGACCTGAAATGTGATATATACTATTAATTACATATTTATTAACATGACAAGACCATAATCAACTCTCGGTGCCATTGGATAGGACCGATGTTAGGTAGATTAGAACGGTTCAGCCATTTAATGATTTGATCTAAAAATGGTGAAGCGAGGCTAAACTTCGAACAACCAGTACGCTGGTCAACTATTTTATAGAATTAAAGGGCGTATAACTCTATACATTCGAAACTTAAAAGAGACGAAAATGGTTCTAAAAGCTGATATTAATGTAACATGAGTTGCAATCTGATTAAAACACAGATCCTATTTCGTTTCGTTTTTTATACCCCAAAGTCTGGATGATGTGGGGGATTAGCCAATGAAACGGTTTGTTACGGCGAGTGTTTGGTGTGAGGTGCACGGACCCACTAGAAACATGAACACAGATTGGTTAATCAAAATGACACTAGATCTGTATTTTGATCAGATTGTATCGAGTTGTGAGAGAGAGAGAAATGGGGTTTAACGTCCACTCGACACAAACTAGGTCATTTCGGGACTAACATATGGTTTAATTTTATTTCAATAATTCGCTTGCGCGTAGGGGTTTTAGCAGTGGGAGGAAACCGGAGGACCCGGAGAAAACCCACGAGGTTGGACAGGCGACCCTACTCCTTGTCACGTACAACCGGGGATTCGAAACCACGCCAGTTGACTCACTGACAGACTTTATGATACAGCGCGCGCACTCTAACCATTCAGCCATCCAACCCCCCTGTATTGAGTTGTAGATATGAATTCTAAATATTACTTTTATTTCTAGGTATGCTGGTGTATTATTTGGTATCAACAATGCAATAGCCTCTGTACCAGGTATGGTGGCGCCATTAGTGGTCGGGGCCTTGACGCCAAATGTATGTATTATATATCAGTCTATTACTTACATTTATTAAATAGAGAAAATAAACAAATTGGGATTGTGTTACTATGGTTACGTGGTACCGCTAGTTACGGGAATTTTGTCCGGAAGATACCCTTTACTGTTTATTCCTCTTCGCGTTCCAGCCCTTGATTTTTACAAGGATGAGGTTCGTGTGTTCTGGTGAACGCTTCCTCTCAACCTCACAGCGCTATTCCCAGTAGGTAGAGTGCGGGTTTCTCCTTCGATATAACTGTCTTCATTAGCCCAGTCGGTGCAGAACACTGGGACGTTAAACCTCATTTCCTTCAAGACACAATAGGGCCTACCCGTAAATGCGTACAAGGGTATAAAATACAAGCAAAATGAACTGGGGTTTACCGTCCTCCCACTGTTCTGCACCGACTGGGATAATGAAGACGGGCATACGCAATACGAAATGAAATGAAATGGGTTTAACGTCCTACTGTTCTGCTCCTATGCTGGGCTAATGAAGACGGGTATACGCCATACAGTGTGCTATGAGGGAAATTTTGCCCGGGCAGCGACACTATCGCCTACTCTTATATAGAATTCCAATTGCCAAGGGATCTTTTTCGTGCATTCCAATGTATACACGGGAACTCGGTTTGTCGTCTCATCCGAAGGACTAGACAGCTGTCCTTGTCAGACCCTCCGTCCTGCATCACTGACTAGGGGGAACCACGCCGGAAAATCTGGATGAACTTTCTCGGCCAATACAGGGATCGAACACCCGACCCCCAGGCTAGCGAGCCAGCGTCTTACCCACTTAGCCACGTGATCCCCACGCAATACGAACTTAAATACAATGAAATGTGTGTTTACGTCCTAAACATTCTGCGCACAAAGACCCATCTACTTCATACTTCAAGATTAGAACTCTGTCCTAAATGACCGCCATATCCAAAACTTAGTAATGCACTTCTACTATGTTTCACATCCGGCATACAAACAAAGACTAAATAAACCCGTTCAATTACATTAAATGGAAGCAGAATAAAAACTTAACAAAATTCTCATTCGACTAAAATCATCGATTTAGGACTTAAAGTGTCGGTCAACTAGCCTAGTGTCTGTTCTCAAGCGGCGCTAACTATAAACGGCAGCCTAAGTTTAGTATGCCTCCTACAGTGTCCTATGGGGGAATGTTTCTCGGACATCGTCACTACGGCCTATTCTTATTCCAGAACCCATCTATCAATGGCTCTCTTACGTACACGCTAATGTATACATGAACTCGATCTTCTTTCCGTCCGAACTACTTGGTACTGTTCCTTTGCCAGGCCCTCCGTCCTGACGTCAGCGAACCACGCTGGAAATTCTTGGGGAATTTTCTCGGGACTCACCCTAACCCTAACCCTAGCCAATATTAAAACACAGAGAATAACGTGCAATACCGTCGGTCCTAATACCAGATCCTAATACCAGATCCTAATACCAGATCCCAATACCCCTAATACCAGATCCTAATACTAGATCCTAATACCCCTAATACCAGATCCTAATACCCCTAATACCAGATCCTAATACTAGATCCTAATACTAATACTAGATCCTAATACTAGATCCTAATACCCCTAATACCAGATCCTAATACTAGATCCTAATACCCCTAATACCAGATCCTAATACTAGATCCTAATACCAGATCCTAATACTAGATCCTAATACCCCTAATACCAGATCCTAATACTAGATCCTAATACCCCTAATACTAGATCCTAATACCCCTAATACCAGATCCTAATACTAGATCCTAATACCAGATCCTAATACTAGATCCTAATACCCCTAATACCAGATCCTAATACCCCTAATACCAGATCCTAATACCAGATCCTAATATTAGATCCATAAATAATTAAAACCCGCGAGTAACATACAAGACCGTCGATTCTATCCATAAATAAAAAGTGGCTGAACCCTCATTTCAATAACAAGGTAGTTTCATACCCCCATTCCAGTGCGTTTGAAACAAACCAAAAGTGGGCGTTATTCACTATTTTATTTTATTTCTGTTTCAATCTTATACATTTTCACGACGGCCATTATTGTCATTTCAGAAAACCCAAGAAGAATGGCGGAATGTGCTTTATGTATGTGGTGGAGTGTGTCTGCTGGGAGCGACTGTTTTTGGACTTTTCGCGCGGACAGATTTAGAACCATGGGCTGCTGAACCCGTGGAGGTCGAAATACAGGACCCAATCAAGAAAGTTGAAGAATATTTACAGAAAGACATAGTTTTATATGATAATAAGGCCTTTGATAAATCGGACTTGAATGAAGAAAATGGATCGACGATTTCTATAAAATTATAATCACCTTACAAACATATGTTAAAGGATCTAGGCCTCTAACTCGATATTATCATAATATTGCAAATTAAAAACATGAATTAGAATTCAATATTGATCAATTTTAATCAATATAGATGTTGTTATCTTGCCGTGAATATATGGGATCCTAATATCCAGTATTTAAGAGACAATGAACATTTTAAAATCAGTACACGAATCATGCATTCAATGGTTTTGGGTGCCATTTGTAATAAACAAAGAAAACAAACCCTAGAATGGACTTAGCGGGCGTTCAATTTGGACTGTTCACGTATTTCACTGAAAATAATTGATTAGAAATTACAATATATTTTTTGAAAACTGAATATAAATCCCTTTATGTACAATCATATGGCATTAAACATACAGTATGCAAGAGCTGAATCTGCCTATTGCAGGTCCTTCTTTAGGCCTGAAATGTTATCTAAATTATTAATTAGACATTAATTAACTTATCCAGACCATAATCAACTCCCGATGGCATTGGATACCTCGAGATTAGAACGGTTCGCCATTTAAAAATTTAAATGGGAAAGCTGGTTACCACAATGCACACATCTTGTCTAAACAACAAACACTGGCTCAGAATGAAGTTATTTGAATGAAATTTTCAATATTTTCATTTTATATTATTCTATTTTTGAGCCTTTATAGCAAGAATGGTCACTTCCTTTTCTAAATCTTACATAATGTATCTTTAATGTGAGCTTTTAGACGGATTTTCGTCAATTTTAAGGTTCCAAAGAATCGGGTAATACACCCTTTAATAATAACACATGACATAATTATATAAAATACAAGTTACTTACATGTGTATTTCTAGAGACGTTTATAAAGCAACCAATGGAAATAAGATGAAGTAGGGTTTAACGTCCTACTGTTCTGCTACGATTGGATTAATAAAGACGGAGCAAAGAATGGGAAATTATAATGGCTAAAAATAATTTAATAAAAGTATGACGTTTTTAATGGTTTAATATAGCAAGCATATATAAGTATTAATTATCCAACGGTTTATGGTGTTTTATTGTTGATTGCTGCTTGTTAACTGTGATAAATAAATTGGAAATAATATAAAGACTGTATGCGTTGTTTTAAGAAAACTACAATGTTGAGAAAGTTGACAAGGGGGTTGGGAGTCACACCGGACAAGTCTGAACTTTCTCTGCCAACACCGCGGTCGAACACGGCATCTCCAGCTTAGCTAGCCAAAGTCTTACACGTATCCCGAAGTATTCATTATAGAAGACTATATGCGTTATTTTAGCGCTATATAATCCCTTGCAAACTACAATATTGTGAAAATTTAATCTCTGTTAAAAAATGGTTCAGTTCCGTTCAGTATTTACACAGACAGGATGAATTCAAATTTCCGTCCGTCCATGCTGCTCCATATGTAATAAGAGGGCCGTCATTTTTATTTGCCGTTAGTCAAATTGTTGGGTCTGTTTTAAACCTGATTGGCTCCAATTCAGGAAGATTATCTAGCGTTAGTATTTTAATTTTGTTTCCTTAATTAAATGTTAAATAATAAATCCGAGTACATATTAACGTGTATTCAACATACATTCGATAAAGAGCTGGCAGTTTTCACTATAATAGTTAAAACTTGATCCACTATGAACCGAGAACTAAGCGACTGAAATTCCCATAAGCCTCGGTCATCATTACTAAAGTCAGTACGATAAACAGCATAGTCTCGATTATCCATTTAATCGTTTAATCGAGAAGGGAAGTTATGCAGTAAATCGGCTTACAATCCACTAAAGATCGCAGGCTAGCGATACCATCTAAAGTTGATTATGGCCTGGATAGGTTAATTAATGTCTAATTAATAGCCTAATTTAGATAACATTTCAGGCCTAAAGAAAGACCTGAAATAGGCAGATTTAGCTCTTGCATAATGTATGTTTAAGTCGTGAAAAGTGAGGTATTTCCAACAAAATACAAATTATGCTTCTTTACTTTAACCTGTAGTTTTGAAAGTGCATACAGGAACTGGATTGGGTTATAGTAGTTGCGCACCTAGACACCAATCACTCGGCTGTCATGTCTCCCTTGGCACAGACTATCATACAGGAACTGGATTAGGTTATATTAGTTGAGCACCCAGACACCAATCACTCGACTGTCATGTCTCCCTTGGCACAGACTATCATTTAACACGATATTCTGTTGGCAGTCGTTGGGCCAGCAATGAAACTGTAAACCGTACTTCGTAATTATTAAATTAAATTAATTAAATTAAATTAAATTAAAAATTAAATTAAATTAAATTAAATTAAATTAAATTAAATTAAATTAAATTAAATTATTAAATTAAATTAAATTATTAAATTAAATTAAATTAAATTAAATTAAATTAAATTAAATTAAATTAAATTAAATTAAATTAAATTAAATTATTAAATTAAATTAAATTAAATTAAATTAAATTATTAAATTAAAGTATTAAATTAAATTATTAAATTATTAAATTATTAAATTAAATTAAATTAAATTAAATTATTAAATCAAATTATTAAATCAAATTAAATTGGGTTTAACGGTTCTGCTCCGACTAGGCTAATGACGGGCGTACGCCATACAATGTTCTATGAGGTCAATTTTGCCCAGCCATCGTCAATACGGCCTACTCTTATTTCGAATTCCAAATGTCAAGGGATCTTTTACGTGCATACCAATGTGTTTACGAGATCTCGGTTTTTCATCCAGTCAGAATGGTTATACGTTGTCCCTTGCCATGCCCTCCGTCCTGCATCACTGACAACGGGGAACCACACCGGAAAACCCAGATGAAGTTTTTCATTCAATGCAGGGATTGAACACAGGACCATACGGATAGGACAACACACGTGGTTCAGCCATGTATATATATAGACATTCCTTATTTTTAAAAAAAGCTCGGCGGGTAGAATTTGTAGAAGAGATGGCGGAAAATTCCTCCATGTAGGCCTACACGTAGAAAAGCAAATGACTATATGGAAGTCTTATAAGTTTAACGAAATGGCAACGTTCACCTATGTTGTCATTGGCGTGCACGTTAAAAAACCCTTGACAGTTTGAAATCGAAGAAGCGTAGCACGGCAAAAGTAACCACCAACCACCGTATAACCGAAATATGATGTTAAAGAGAGGACTCTAAAAGATATATTTTCTGTTTATGTAAATGTGTCGTGATCTCCTTGATCCCGTTAACAACATTATGACATCAATCACTGGGACATATTCAACTTATTTTTATTGGCCGACGTATATCATTTTAAAATTATGTGCATGGCAGTACGTATTCCCCACAAATTATGAAATCATGAGTTTTAAGTATGTGCTCCGGTTTCTGTAAACATTTAAGTGTCTGTGCTATTTTAGGCGATATTGGACAATACCCATTATATCCAGTGTAAACGGTATAAAATATTGGCTTTAATTATTACATATAGACGATAATAAACTCGCCATGTATATAGTATACTTACTAGTCTGGACGAACACATATACACAAATCAAATATCTCCTATTTACACACAGTTTGGGCTATCTATGCCTGGAACTTCTAAAACGTTATTCCTTTATTTAAACATAGAATCCAAACCTGTTGCTTGCTATGGTGGTATTCTGACCTGATAGATAAATATTGAATACTGTTGCTTGCTATGGTGGTATTTTGATGTGATAGATAGTACATTATTAATTGAATACTGTATATTTATATAAAACTGAATTACAACATGAAAGATAAACTATTAAAAAGACTATGAGTAGATTTAGATCTGGCGGAACTAACTTATGTACTTAAAAAGAAAATGGATAGATCAAGAATATTGTAACCGTATCTGCTCTGTTAGCCATTTAAAGGAAATTGATGATCAATTCCATTTCAATATTACTTGTCCATGTTTTGAAGAATATCGAAACAAGTACATATGTCCTTATAATGTTATAATGTCTTTATGAATATCATGTTAAATATTGAAAATCTAGCCCAATATATATGCCATTGTTTGAAATATAGGTATTTATTATTATAAAATGTAAATAGTATTTATATTAATCTGGATTAATTATATTATAAAGACAGTAATTATATTTTTAAGATTTAAATCATTGTAAATGTATGTTCCTTGGACTATGGCCTTGAAACAATTACAGATTATTTATATTATTATTAAATAACAAACTAAAGTTTAAGGATGGTAACCATGACGATCGGTTTTCAACATATATAAGATCAAATTAAATTAAATGGGGTTTAACGTCCGATTGTTCTGCTACCACTGGACATACGTTGTCTCTTGTCAGGCCCTCCGTCCTGCACCACTGACGATAAACTTTCTCAGTTAATGCAGGGATCGAACACATGACCCTCCAGGTTAACGAGACAAAGACTTCCCCACTTAGCCACCGTGACTCCCTACACAAATCACACATACAAACATACTAAAGGGTAAAATAAAGAACAATCGCTTTAAATGGCAAACAAAAGTCCTTTGGGCAGGGTGACGAAGACATTCTTAACCTATATTCGTCCACACATAAATAAAATACGTACAAACACAATGACGATCACGCACTCCCAAGATAGCCCTCGATATGCAAGACACAAAAACATGATACACATATAGCGACTAATTGTCTGGATAATCGAGTGTCAACACGGATATAAAACTACCCAGCCGTGACTTTAAATATACCTACGTCACGTGATCAATCCATTCGCTCTATTCTTAGAAATTAAGCTTAGTAAACAGGACACATTAAAGCGGTAAACACGAGAAGAACAACACGGTGATATTAAATCTTATATATAGAATGTGTTATAATAACTAAAACAACGATAGTTTCGATTTCGACACTTTTTAAACAGTGAAGATGACTACCCCCATTTTAGGGGCTTGGGGACCCCTTTATGTGACTGTTTTAATAGGGTTACTGGGATCAATTCGAGGGAATTTTATCAATTTTCATCCCGGATATGAATATGA